ACTGCAGCAAAAGGAATGGGGCATCGAGGACGAACTCACACGTCTACCGGGACACTTGTCAGGAAGCAACGGACCCATGTGCACTTGAATCTTCAAGCCTAACGTCGAAAGCGACAACCGAAAACCAAGAAAGCTGTAGGGGTTCGGGGTTTCTCTGCTACTTTGCATCACCACGAGTTTCATTCCAGCCCTAGGCCCTAGGGCCATAGGATACATGGGGCCATGGCAATCAGCTCAAACGGTCCTTCTTGGGCGGCGCTTGAGCTGCTGGACTCCATGCCTAGGGCAAAGCACCGATCAACAGTCGATCTTTTGTCAATAGTGTGGAATGACCCCGGATTCAGGCACATACCACAGGTTTGAGCTGTGTTGGTTGGCTGACTCTTTGTCTCACATGTTGGTTGGATGGCATCAGTGTCATACCATGTCATAACGTCATAACATGTCACAACATGTCATACCATCGTAACAGCAAATCAATCTCAAAGGATGTCAAAGGCAAATCCCTCGTGGCTGCTGGTACGGGAATTCTAAATGCTGGAATCTCCCTCCCTCCCTCTCTTTCTCCCTTCTCTTTCTTTGTCTTTGTCTCGGGCTCCCACCACCGCGAGCAGCCGCGTCAGCAGTTCCTCCCGGTCTTCCGAGGTGGTGGAGACTCGCAGCTCCTGGCCACTGAAGTCGGCGCCGAGCCCTCTCGGTGCCGAACGGGTGTGCCGAACGGGTGCAGGGGACTTCATGGGACCTCAGGGGACGGTCTCCTGGCAGTCCTTTCTCAGCTCGTGCAAAGGTAGGACCTCACAGCAGGAAGGCCCAAGTGTGAAACAATGTGGAAAACATGCTGTTTTGGGCAAAAGGAAAGCCCGGTCACATCACTGCAACCGGAGGAGGATGGTGTGTTGAGTGGCGGCGTGTCAAAAAGCGTGTTTCTTTCTCACAGAGTGGCAAAACATCGCCGACATACGAGGTATTGGGCAACTTGAGGGTTTGCTCTCAGCTTTCCTGCTAACCCTCGACAGCTCCTATGACGCTTGATGCGTCACCCCCACCGACGCACCGACCCACCGGTCGCCAACTCGACCGGTAGGTATCGGCACGCCCCGGAGAAGCACGCTCTCCAGGACATGGACCAACGGTTCGGGTGACATGTGCCGAATCCGAAAATGCCTTGGGCGCCCAAGCCCGCCACATGGCCACCCGCTGAAGTCGTGACAGCAACTCCCGACGCTTTAAGGAGTCCACCTGCACCGCCAGAATGGGCGGATCGTAATTTTGAATGTTCTTTGCATCAAACTTCACCTCGTTCCACTATATACTGTACTTACATATTCAATATATATATATATAATTATATATCCATAAAATTCATTAAAAACCTATAAATGCATCTAGTTTCGGTCAAAGCTGCACAAGAATCCCAAGAAAGTGTCTCCCGAATGCCTGTGGGACTTGCAAGGACTTGTACTCCTCCATCAAGCTTGCATCATTGGACCCTTGCAGCCGGAGATACTCCGCGGCCTGGGGTCAAGCGATTCGACAGAAAGAGATCAGGTGACCGATGGCGAGGATTTGGGATCCTCTTCACACCAGTCATGTTCGTATCACATTCATATCATGGTGTGCATGGTTAAGACATAAACACGCACGTAAATATTGACACCAGGTGAGGCATTTAGTATGCCGATTCCATGGATGAGTTGTGCGACCTCTAGGCACGGCTCTGGCACAAGAAGCGCTCAAAGCTTGGGATCCCAACCAGTTGGCTGGCAGATTCAACAGTCGGCAGCCTCAGATTTCACGACTGAACGTACGTTTGCCCTTACCACCTGACAAGCTGAGCTGTAGCGGGAGCGGAGCAAGGACGCCACTAGGGGCTCCTGGCATCGCTACTAGGAGCGATCGGACGCTGCTTGCACCCACCCACTGTGACTCCCGTGCCGCTTCAATGGAAGCTGAAGGGAGGACCAGGCATCTGCACAATTGACCTCGGTTGAAAGTGAACTGTTTGGCGTTTGATAGTATGTCAAAGGCCACCGTGACACACATGACCACTGGTGATGTGAAAGGCCCTTCTTTCCCGCAGCAAGCAAGCTTTCCAATTAAACCGACCTTGCATAAGACTTCCGTGATTCTGCAGGGTGTCCTGTCTTGTTTTTATTGGTCCTCAACATGCCATTGGGTTGCCGTGCCATGATCAAACGCTCCTGGAGCTGCTTGCACTGGGCATCTTCTGTGCCTGACGTTTTGCACAAAACCACAAAAGCCTATGGGAGGTATCCAAGGATAAGCCGACATTTTCCTTCTCAAGCCTGACACACACATGCCAACATGTGCAACCGGCCCCTCGGCGACACTTCCAGGCCTGCCAAGCCACCCACCGAGACGCCCTGATCCTGCGATCTTCCAAGACCATTGTTGGCAGGTCGGTGGGTCGGCTGAGTTTCAGCTGAACAAACTCAGTCAGTTCAGTGACCTTGGAGAAATGACTTCTCTTTGAAGCAAAAGAGTCATGTAGGGAAGCCAAGCCAGGACTTGATCAACAAACGCTCTCTCTCCCTCTCTCTCTCTGTCTCCATCGCCCTCTCCAGGAGATTAACAAACTGCCTCCTGCAATTTTTCAGGGACGCTTTTGTGACTTCACGCGCCTGACACTCTTTTCGCAGCTCATGGAGGGGTAGTTCACGCCACAGCGCCTCGACAGTGTCCCCGGAAATTTAAAATCTGCAAGAATCTCCTCTCATGAGTGATTAACTCTTTGCAAGTTCTGAGGGGCAAGCCACGCTCCTCAGCTGCCGAAGAATTTCCTTCCGGGCATTGGTTTCTGAAAAAAGCAACATTGGTATACATTGGTGGGGGTCCTTCCTCTCTCTGCAAAGTCGACCAACTCGTAGAACGCACGGGGCATCTCATGACATTCCAAGGCTGTCAGATTCCCATAAATGCAGGCAAAGACGATTTGGACCCTCTAGCCAAAACCCATCAAAAACCTAAGCAGCATGTGTAACTAGTTCATAGGAGTAGGCTTCTTCGATCTGGTCGATGAGTTGGTCAATTCCCGATCCCGCCTGAGGCGATGGAGTCTTGTGCATTGCAGCTTTTGGTAGGCCTTAGGAACTGATGGCTATGAACGAGCCCTGTCAATGACTGCGTGGCAAATGGAGAATGTTAACAGTCCCAGTATGGAACTGTGGGTCATCAGGATGAGGGCTAACAAAAGAATTCAAACAAAATCTGATTTGTTACCTCCATTCAATTCACCAGCACTGAGGCAGCCAGGCCAAGGTTGAAATATTCACGTTGGAGTGCCTTCTCATCTTTCGAGCTGCCCTGCACCACAAGCAATGGCTCTGCTTCAGAAAACGTACCCTTGATTGTGGCTGATAGCTATGAGCAATAGTCAGCTAATATATGCAAATATATCATGATTCTGGACAATCACCTCACATGTGCTCTTTGAGGGGCAAAACGTGCTTCGAGAAGATCCGACCAACAAGTGGCCTCCAATCGCAGCATATTTGTAGCAAGCCTGGAGCAAACGAGTTTCCAAGCCCCCGGAGGATGGAAGACGGGCGCCACAAAGCCTACTATCAAGTGAAGCCAAAAGACAAAGGAGACTGCTTTGTGACTTTGTAGCCTAGTGGGGTTCATGTGCGTGTTGCGGAAAGCCCTTGATTTTTGTCTCGCCGCCTTTTTCGCCTGAGGCCTGCCACTTGGCCTGCACTCTTTGCAGGCCAAGCGCCAAAGGAGCTAGCTGACGCCCGCCAGTTTGCTGGGCTGTTTGTTGGTGTTTGGATGTGTTTGGTAATCTTTCCTTCTGGTGCCTCAGTGGTTTGGATGTCAATCAACAATAATCAACATACTTTTCAGATCTTTTCAGTCAGCAAGCGAGTCTGGAGCCCTCCGAATTCGGACCGCTGATCGGCACCAAAGCATTAATCATCTTAAATATCTTAAATCAACATGCCAGGGTAGGAGCCCCTAATAGTAGCGTTCTTGCTCCTAGTAGTACGGCCAGGAGCGCCTAGTAGCGTCCCTGCTCCTAGTAGTATGGCCAGGAGCCCCTAATAGCTTCTTGGTCGTGAGCCTGCTAAGTAGAATCACAAATGTGCTTCAGCGGATTCCACCGAACTCTCCTGGCCCAATTTCCAATGCACTGGCGCTCACTGGCGCTCTCCCACGGCTGCGAACCGCAAAAGCTTCCTAAGGGCTGGCCACCCTAGGGAATCTTCAAGACAAGACTTTATATATATACAGTAAGCTTCGTTTATCATTGATATTTTGATCATCTTCGCTCTGGGGTATAACAAACAATTTGCCAGCCTAGACTTAAGCTCGCAACTGTTTTATAGTTTTCCTAATGGAAGGGGCCCCTGAGGCTCTGAACAGCTGTTGCCCCAGTGAGGGCGAAACAATCATGCTCCCTCCTCCCAAAAGCAATGCAAACAAGGAGCTCTACGAACTCCTCAGACAAAGACAGGCGAGCCAGGTACAAAAAGCAACGAGAATCCCTTGCCGTTGGAGCATCAAAGCCAAACGTTCGAAGCAGTTGCCGGTTGCTCTCGCACTCGAAAAGTGACCCTGGACATTGTGCCGAACCTTTCCTGTTGGACATATATAGTTGAGGCTTTCCCACACCAACTGAACCGCAGCCATGGCACCTCGTAAGGCATCACCTTCCGCATCTCCCCTTTGGGCGTGGTGAAGGCGTGCTTGAGCACCTGGGAGGAAAAGAACGCCTTGGCCAAACCAACTTGGGGAAGTACTTGACCACTATGCCGATAGAGATTTCCCAAGCCCGGATGAAACAAACCTGCACTTGAAACTGAAATCATGAACTGAGAACTGTGACATGGCTACTAATTGAGTGCTGCCGCTCAAATGATTTCTCATCGAACAACATTCTTGGGCTTGGGGCACCCTGACTTACTTCGCACGAGTTAGACACTCAAAGGACCACCATGGACCACTGATTGGAACCTCAGCGCAATCCACCTCCCCCCACATCACCTGACTTGTTCACCGACCCTTTCCCGCGACACCATCGTCCATTCATCATCCCTTCGCCCCACTGCGGGTTCACCACCTACTCTGGGTTCACCCGCAGCGGGTCTGACCCGTTGCGGGCGGAGCGCCATCTTCCGCTTGGCCTCGTCCAGCTCGGGACACAAGCGCCGCAGCAGCTCCGCCAGCTGCTCACGGCTGAAGCCCTGGAGCTGCTCGGTGTCCCAGGCACCGAAGCAGCGACGCAGCTCCTGGACGGTGTGCGGACAGGGAGGTCTTCTTCCTCTCTCTCTCTCTCTGTCTGTGCTTCTTGTGCGGTTTGCCTCTTGCTGCCATTGTGCAATATGATGGATGCAAGAAGATGCAAGAAGTAGGACTTCAGTCCTACATTCCAAACACGATCTTTCCACGATGAAACATGACATGTGCAGCGGGACAGGCCTCTCCAAGTCGTTCAGGACCCAGGCCCACCTCAAATCATGAAGGTGGGCGGATGCATACCTGTAGGATTCTGTAGGTGTTTGGGCATGGGTTGTCCGATTATCTAGCACGCAGGAACCCAGCCTTGGAAGGTCTCAAGAACTGCCAGGCTATCCGACAGCGGGTTATGTGCTGTTGGGTCTGACAGTCCAAGGTGCATGATCGTTTTACATACAGTAGTCATCCGCATGTATGTTGTACTGACTGCCTCGATCCAAGTTCTGATGCTGACCAGCTGCAACCATGACCATGAAAAGAACGGGCGCCTCTGTTCGTGGATCTGGCTCCTGTGAGAAGCTGGCCACAGAACGAAACTGGCATCCGGAAGAATCAGAATGCAGCAAATCACCAACCAACCTCACCTTTCCTATCAGAACAGTGAAGGAGAGCAATCGTGAGGAGGCAATTGCAGCAAACAGTCCAAACTCATCCACTGCTTGCCAATGTCACACTCAGAACATCAAGAAGCCAACTGTCCATGCATGTTCTCCACTTCGATCCCAAATCTGTGGTCCTCACCACACAAAGGCATCAGCAGCTCTTCTCCTTGACTCCATCCAAAGGGTTACGAGTGCCCGGCGCTTTTCCACCCAGCTTGGACTCAGACTTACTATGAGTCACCAACCCAGAATCGCTCACGGGAAAGCTGCTGCAGCACCGCAACATGCACTTTCTGAAACATTATTCAACTTTTGAAAGCTTGAACCGGGTGATTCACCCCGTTGCACGCCCGACAAAGCCCCTCTCCCTGATGCCAAGGCACCCTCTGGGCAGCCTCAGGTACACACATGGACTTGCATGATGTTGGTTAGAATGGTATAGTTAGTTGTGTAATAATATAGTGAAAGTTCGCCTTTCAACATGGCAGTTCAGGATGTTGCTTTCAAATTAGCGACCAACTGATGTATCAAAAGGGTCTGAATGGATGCATCCCGGATCCAAGTGACGCTTGCTCAGCAGCTTCAGCTTTGAGGCCGAATCTTGCCAGGCAGGCGGTGGAGCCGTCTCCACAAACCAGCCGTTCTGCAGCAAGAGCTGGGGCAAACCTGCAAGAGGACGCTGCACATTGCAATCTGTTTTCTCTAATTGAGTCCCTAGCCTCGGTGGTTGCTTATTGTATATGCACCATCCTGGGACACATCCACCAAACTGTTCAAAGCATATTTCATTTCAACGCAATTAGCCTTTTAGCCACTCTCTGCTTTACATCGAGGGCCCCAAGATCCACTGCTCCACACCACCCCGGCCTCGGCCGCTGCGCGCGGGGTGCTCCTCGTAGCTGGCCTCGATCATCACAAAGACCCGGCAGGCCGAGGTGGCTCGGATGCGCAGCTGCAACCCGGGCCTGGTTGATTGACAGATCGCCAAAAACGCTGCAAAGGGAAACATATGCACAAATCTCAAGGTGGTGATAATCAGTAACAATGCCGTGACCATCTTTTTCTAGGTTGGGAGATGTGGGGCAGCTCATTAAAAAGAACAAAACGTCTGGCCCATCATCTGGCACTTTTTCAGGTAGTGTACAGTGTACAGTAATCTAAAGTTCTTCCGGGTTCTGCTCGTTCCAAGTGGCTTCGATACAATAGACTTATAAGCTAGAACCTGATTGATACACAGTTGCAAGGCTTGCTAATCCATCAATCTACGGGTCGGCAATTGCCTCACCAAACACACTTGCGCTTTGCATGCCACAGCCGTACAAGGTGGATCGTAAGAACGTCTTGTGGAGTGACCCAATTGCAGGTTATTCGCCTACTGCGCAGCTGCTGCATGATTTCCTGTCATAGCATGTCACAGCGACCCTAGGTTTTATTTTCCGTCCTTGTGTGACCATCCCAGGGCAAACAAGCCAAGCTCCCCAAACATTGAAGTCGAGTCTCCGAGTGTGAAGCTCATGAGGCCCTCTGAAATGGAGGCCACCCTTCATGCACTCAGGGATCCAAGCCAAGCGATTCTGACGGTCCGTCCAGGCCAAGCCGGTCTCTTTCACCTCAACACAAAGGACGCCCCATGGTGTGCGTGCTTTACAAAAAAGGAAGTGTACGGTGTGTGCCTTATGGTCTTTTGGTGCAAACGGTTCGATCAATTGCAAGCAAAGAATGGATAGCTTCTAGTCTTGCGGCGGGTTTCCGAATTGGTGCAGCGTAATTAGAGTGTGCCCTGCCTGACTCCTGGAGAATTCCAAGCCATTGTTGCACTCCACCGAGGCATCAAAGGCTTCCACATCCACCTTCACGACCACTGCCAAGACCTGCGGCTGGTTGAATCCCTCCGAAGCAGTCGATGAGTGCTTCGCGAGCTTCCTGCTGCTTCCCAGCGGAAATGGCAGCTGTCAAAGAAATCATAATCTTAATGAGATAAGAACCTCCAACACCGTGAGCAAAAATGCAAAGACACATCAGCCCTGGCCCTAAACAAACATCTGCAAACCCCTATACAAATGATATATGTTTTCCATCATTTTTCACAGCTCTTCAGCAACAGCTTCAACTCTTGCACTGACGCAACACAAATGCGTATATACATGATGTGTATGTACTTTTTTTTTTTTATATAGGAAGTCCTCCACCTCATCAGCTAGGCCAAGACAGATGCACATGTGTGGGCACCGTAGCCATTTTGGCTCAAATTGCACATTGGGCTCTTGCTGCAAAGCTGGCCTTTTTGCCCTACAACTCCAGGGCAATGCCCTTTTGCAAACTTGGACTTCAAGGTTCCAAGCTTTCCCATGGCCTCCGAAGATCCCTTTGGTGGAACGCCCACCAACTCCCGGGGCAGCACGCGCCGGGCGACGACCGCTAGGCGCGACATCTGGGCGCCCTCCTGACGAAACGACGGGCGCGGACAGCCCGGTGGCGTGACCAATCACGGACGGAACAAGCTCCTCAGGTTGCCACACCGGTGCTTCCTCACGAGCTTCCCAACCGTTGCCCCATCTGGAGAGCAGAGGGACAAACAAACACCATAGGGACAAAAGGTCACGTACTGTAAGTACGTTGGCTGCGGGTCAAAGCATGTATAAGAGATTTGGCGCCTAAAGAAACTTTTCCGAGCAACTTATTGTGAGATGGAATGGTGATGCTCTGATCAGTTGTTTTTCTTGCATTTCATGCCTCTCAATGCCTCTCAAATTGCTGCAATTACTGCACCATGACCAAACAATTCATTGCAATTCATGCTTTTTGCCGCTAGTCGAAGAACAAAGCGATCTTGAGATCATTGGACCAAGAACATTAAAGACCTTCATGACATTACGACGTGCCTGGCCGCGTACTCCGAGGCCACCGTGGTTGCAGGCAGCAGGGCGTAGACCACGGAGGGGGCGGCGGGGCGCACCACGAAGCTGGAGCTTGAGGAACTAGGCCGCCAGGCAGAACCAGTGTGGATGATTCACTAGGAACGGAATTCTGAGTCCAAGGAGGGTCTACACACCTATGGTCCAAGGGTTCAAGAAGGTCAAGGAGTTTCAGTCTGAGGGGTCTTGCAATACAAATTCTGCAGGTGTCCAAACAAAAACTCCATCTATAGACTTTAGAAGAGCCATGGCAATGCGGCGAAGCAGCCCAACCAAGCTCCCTTCCCAACAAACCATCCCAAACACCTTTCACATCCTCTGGCACACAATTCCAAGGTACGGGGCATGGGACGCATCTGGCCGGATCAGCGTGGAGCCGCACATCCACAGCGGCACCTTCCAGGTGGGCTGATATCGGAAATCGCCAACCCTTGTCCTCAACTCATCACATATTTCTTGAGTAAAGAACGGGCATCATTGAATAATCACAATAGTAATAACAATACTCATAAGACTCATAATCGTCATCATCATTATATATCACCACATGGCATCCACCTACACCATGCAGGGTACGCACCACAGGCTAAAGGTGAATATGCTCACCTCCTCACAAACAGCACTCCGCTCAAGATCGGTCAACCGACCGGACTCCAAACTGGTCTGGATTCAGATTTGTGCCTCGACCAATGAGCCTTGGCCATGGGTGCTTCTTAAGGGTGTCCCTTCCTCCAGCGTCAGCAGCTCGGTGTCTACGAAGCCCTCGGCCAGGCGGCCGTTCACACTGGGGCACTTGAGAATGGATCAACATGGATCAGCCAATCAAACATTTGACAACAAGTCGAAAGATCGCACCATGAACCAGAATCATAAACTAGCCTACTGTAACTCATGGAAACAGTGATGGGGCATGAGTCAATATCTACCAGGGGCGTTTCATTTGAACAACAGCTGATTTGGCAGGTCTTGACTAGAATCATCTACAGTAGAATTTGGATACAGTAGTAGAACAATGTAGCACACATCACGCATCATACAGCAGCCAGCTCATCATATGGACTGTTTGCCCTGCCTCGTTGTAACAGCTGACTTCAAGAGGTGCAGTTGATTGAGCAGTGACTGGAGTGACCTCAGAGTCTAGTCCAGCCAAGGCTATTTTTTGGTTAAGCCAAAGGGAGGTGACCAGGAAGGTGTTCTTTCTTCACGAGCCAGAGTTTGTGCCATGCACTCACCAGAACACTTAGCCGCACTGGCCTGCAGCATGTCTGAAGACATGATCATCTCACAGTGTTTCACACAGTTCGGCATTGCCTCATGCTGGCCCACACATCAGCTCCGACAGGAGAAACACGGAAAACCCTCCTGTCCAGGCAATTTGGTTGTTGTCGTGGTGGCCTATGACTCCATCAGCTACGAGCCAAGCAACCACCACGCTGAAGACCAGCCCATCATTGGGTGGTGCATGGCAGGGCGGCAAGGACAGGGGCCAACCTGCCGGACAATACCTTAGCGAGTCAAACATCTATCCGATCTATCCAGCATGCGCTTCACATTCCCACAGATTCGCCCAAGCTCAAAGAGCGCATGTTCTGAACTTCCACATCTTTCACTGAACGCCTCACAGGTTCATGGGAAGCTATGGCCTTGGTCACGTATGAGATCTTCTCAAAGGCACCGGCTGTAGGTCCGCATGGTCGGGAGCTCGTGCCAGCGGGGAGCCGCCTCCTCCAGGTGCCATGAAATTCCCAAATCCTCCTTGGATGCTTCAAGATTTGGGAAGGAGATGGAAAGAGCGAGTCCCGCAACGGGCCCTTTAGCCGCTCAGATCTTGGGGGTCGTTGTGATGCGATGGTTGAGCGCGAGCG